CCACATATACTAACGCTCACCTCATTCCAAATAGAATCCCCCCGAATATAAGCCCACCCAAATATAAGCCCCCCAAATATAAGTCCCTCGAATATAGTAGCCCACTAGGTTAGTCAAAATTGACATTGTCGTTTAATATAGCAGAAAACTGTTTTTGAAGAGATGACAGTATTTAAAAACATTGTCATTGTCTTTGTAGCCCAATATGTGAATCAAAGCGCATTGTTAATACATGTTTATTTTCCTGTTTATGACTGACTTGTTTATGTCTGACTTGTTTATTACTAACACAAAAGATTGTCCATGTATAAGCCTCTCTATATAAGCCCACCCTTGTATAAGCCCATCAAAAATCGCTTACGAAAGTATATAAGCCCAGGGCTTATAGTCGGAGGTTTACGGTATATGTATTTATTTATTTATATGGTATATAAATATATAGAAAGATAGGGATAAATATTGGAAAGAGCATTGTACTTTAAAATACAAATATTGCGTGCTCTTGCCATCATATTGTGTGTTCTTGCCATCAGGCTAGGAGAAATTATTTGATATTATTTCGGGTGATATGCGTGAACTTAGATCGATCACTGAACTATCATTTGAAATTAGATCTTCTCATACTTTAAATGAAAATCTATCACTCAAGGAAGAAATCTCACATTTGAATGAAAAAATCAAAAATCAATCATGTTTGGTATCTGACTTGGATAGTAAGCTAAAAGAACTTAAGAATGAACGGAATAGCTTACTAACAGTAATCAGAATACTACAAGTAGAAAATCAAAACTTTCCTCATTATCAGAGACAACAACAAGTAGCTAATTTACATGCCAATATTAATCATCCCCTGCAGAGCCAACATGTTGCTCCCTCAGCTCATATTAACAACCTACATCAATCACTTCCAACTCAAACAGATCAAAGAAGCACCGAGTGGAACTATGCATATGATAATACGCTTGACCAACAACTCAGATATCAGAGGGAACAACAACAACGTGTTCACCATCATCAGTCACAGCAACAATCATACCAGCCCAAACCACAACAGAAACATCAACTGCTACCACAACATATATATCAGCGACAACATCTAGTAGCTCACTTACATGACAACACCCATCATCGCCCACAAAGCCAATATGTAGGCCCCTCTGTCCAGCCTCAAATTAATCAAGAAATCACTGAGAGGAACCATGCATATAGTAATACGTTTGATCATCAACCCAGACCCCAAGTGGGAACAGGCCGAACAGCAATACATTAGCCGCAACAATGATACGTATCAGCTGCAGCAACAATCACATCAGCCACACCATGATCAGCAACAGCCACCTCAACAGCAGCCTTACAACGATACTTCACTACCCAAACAACACCACCACCATCCTAAAAAGCATGCTGGAGAAGGAGACTCTATCCTAGGAGATTCTTTGACAAGAGGAATCAATACGAGGAACATAAGAAGGTCAACCAGCAAAAATGTAATTATCCGTACATTTCCTGGTGCAACGGTTATGGATATGGTAGATCACATTAAACCATCCTTGCGTTTACAACCTGCCCATATTATTATCCACGTTGGGACCAACGATTTGAAACCAAGTGAGGTGAAAACCCTAACTGAAAACATATCCAAGCTTTGTGATGAACTTCAGCCCCAAGATCGACATCACACTTTCGCAAATAATAACTAGAACTGATAGCCCTGGCATTAACGAAAAAGTCGCCCAACTGAATAACCTGCTAAAGGGTCTCTGTGAAGCAAGAAACTTGGGTATAATAATTTAAGCCAGGAAAATATCGATGAAAGAGGCCTAGACAGACTTGGCCTGCACCTTAATAGGTCAGGTAGTAGTATCATGGCAAGAAACTTAATTAACTGTATTCAGCATCTTTAGCAATTCTAAATTATATATCTTAGATGATCTGAATTCCAACCAACCCATGACAAATATTAACTTAACCGACAACCCTTTTAGTCTAATTCCAACAAAGGGTCTGACTTTTTTCCACTTAAATATTCAGGCTATCACAAATAAATTGGACCAAGTTAAGCTATGATTTCTGAATCCATAAGGCATAGGAAGAAAAGCAACATTATATTTTGTTTCTCTGAAACTCATTTAAATTCTAACTGGTCTGATGACAAATTGCAAATTAGAGAGTTCAAATTCATTAGGAAGGACCGAACTTATGCCTCACGTGGGAGGTATTCTGATTTATATCCCAGAAACAATTAATTTTCAATATCGCAATGATTTCTCGTTACAAGAAAATAATTATCCGCTTGAATTTATTTGGTTGGAATTTAAGCATCCTAATTCTAAACCCTTCCTGATGGCCATTATGTATCAACCGGGAAATAATACTCTTTGGAGAGATAACTTAAACTATGTATTAGACATGGCTGACAATGAACACAAAGAGATCATTATGTTAGGGGATTTAACACAAATTTTCAAGATAAACATTCTTATCAACAACTGCATAAAACAATTGACTTTATCTTTACCTCTAAGGAAGATAATGTTATTAAATCAGGCGTGCTAGATATTGGGATGAGTGACCATTTGCCAATTTTTATCTCTAGAAAAATTAATTCCAGGATCTCAATTAAACAAGGTTTACATACGATTAGTTATCGCAGGAAGAAAGATTTTATTGCGAGTGATTTTGGCAATGACCTTGTTGAAGAAATCCCATTAAGCCTTTATGAAATCTTTGATGATCCAAACAATCTATTAGACTGTTGGTACTCTCACTTTATGACAATTTTGGATAGGCATGCACCTTTAATAAAACATAAAGTCAGAAATAATAAACTGCCGGGGTGGTTTAATTCTGAAGTACGTTGCTTTAGCCGCAAAAGAGACTTTCTTTAAAGCAATTTCTAAAAACCAAAAACTCCGACACATGGTTTACCTACAAAATGGAGAAATAGAACTGTTCATATTATTAAAAAGTCAAAAGAGGACTACTATAAGAACCTCCTGACTGATAATGTACATAATCCACGACAATTATGGAAAATTCTAAAAGACATCTTGCCGACCAATGACACTGTCTCCCCAATAACACTTAACATTAATGGCAAGGAGATCAGTGATCCTATCGAGGTTGGCGCTCTCTTTAATGAATACTTCTCCTCTATTGCAGACAACTTTGATATCAGTTTACTAAACAACCCAATTAATACTCATTTACCAATTGCAACAAATCATATTAAGTTTACAATTCCACTGATAACAATCGATGACATACTAAATCTTGCAGCCGAATTAGACCAAAACAAGTCAACCGGTCTAGATGGTATTCCTGCCTACTTCATCAAGTCCTCGATTCATTCCATTGCACCCATAATATTTCGCATTTGTAATATGAGCATTGAAAATGGCATCTTTCCCAACATGTGGAAGAAAGCTAGACTGATTCCAATCTATAAAGCTGAAACACGTACTGAGGGAAACAATTACAGGCCCATTTCTATATTACCGATTCTATCTAAACTCCTCGAACGACATGTTGCCAACTCATATGTAAAATTCCTCACAGAAAATGATATTCTATAGAGATGCCAGCATGGTTTTCGAGCCCATCACTCTTGTGAATCTACTCTAATATTGATCTGTGAACACCTTCTCGATAACATTGAGCAAGGTTTAATTAATGGTATAGCTCTAATTGACCTCTCTAAAGCGTTTGACCTGGTCGATCATAGATTGCTACTGCAGAAATTAGAACAATATGGCATTACTCCAATAGCTCTAAAATGGTTTAAATCGTATTTAAATGATCGTTACCAAGTAGTACAAATTGCATCATCCCTATCCAACCCAGCTCTGATAAAGTCTGGTGTGCCTCAAGGATCTATACTAGGACCAATTCTCTTTCTTATCTTTATTAACGATTTACCCAGTTACGTTGGAAGTTCTAAGCCTTTTTTATTTGCCGATGACTCTACACTAATATCCTCCGGATCGGACCTTCACGAACTTAGTGTCTCTAAAGTCAGATATGACCTCAGTGTCCCATTGGACTAACCATAACAAAATGTCTCTTAATCCTGGCAAGACAAAAATAATGAAAATATATTCCCAATCTAAATTCCCTGATCTTAGTCCAATAACCATTGAAGTCAATAACAATAATGTTAAGGAGATTACATCCGCCATTTTACTTGGAGTTACATTAGACCAACATCTGAAATGGGATAAGCAAATTAATACCATCTACAATATAATCAATTCTAGACTTTACCTGCTCAAACGTATACATAGCTATCTCACTTTTCAATCTCGTATTCAATTATATTACGCACTAATCTACCCACACTTGCTATATTGTAGCACAGTCTGGGGCAATGCTAATAACGATCTAATTACATGCCTACTAAAACTACAGAAACATGCTGCGAGACTAATTCTTGAGCAGTCAACTGAAGTGCCTTCAATTGTGCTTTTCCGTAAAAACAAAACTGGATACCTATTTTTAATTTGATCAAAATGAGAAAAATATTATTGGTATTCAATACTTTAAAAACATATTGGCTGCCGGATCTTTGTAAATTGTTTGTCTTTGTTCGTGACTCTCATCCAATTCCAACTAGATCGTCTATTACAGACTTAAAAGTTCCATCAGTTAAGACTACGCAAGCAAAATCCAAAATTTCCTTCAGTGGTGCAAGTTTATTTAATTCTTTACCTTCCGAATTAAAAGATATTGAAAATCACTCAATTTATTCCTATAAAAATTAGAAGCTCAAAACCTACTTTATTCAATTGAATTATGAAGTAGATCACGTTAATAAATTCCACTGCATCGATTGTAAGCATATTACTCATTGTCAATGTTACTCTTTTCTTTTTATATACTTACTCGTTTCTTTTTATATATTACCATTAGATATCGAGGGCCATTGGGAAGAATACTATATTAAGTAATCAATGTAATCCCTCATTAAATAAAGTTTTATTATTATTATTATTATTATTATTATAAATGTTCTTATTTAGGCCGCGGCTTAAATAAGCCGCAGCCTATTTTTGCTCGTATAACTGGCCCTATTGTGTAGACGCAAAGTGCAAAAAACATGGTTTTTCCTACACTGTTTCTAATGTTTTTTGCCCTGAATGGCTGCCACCTTGGATTCACTCTTACTGGCTACGCTTTTTCGAAAATAATCGTATGCAGTCAGCAATCTAGGTCTATTAAAGTCTATTATTATTTATTTAAAAAATTCCTGGTTTCTGATTGGCTAACAGACAACTGTCAACATTATCAACTCAATGGCTAACCAAATCTGGATTTTTTTGCATTCATAATAGCAAAATGACGTCAAAGAGGCAATATGAAAAAAATTTGGACACGTTTGCGCCATATTACTATGACGACGAGAATCATATTGACTCGCTGACGCCATTGATATGACGGACTAAAGAATTGTTTTTTTCTTAACACAAATAAAATACAAATGGCTTCTTCCACTGAAAGGTTCGCCAACTTTGGCGAAGCCGAAATTAAAAAATTACTGGAAGATAAAGCTTTGTTAAATACAAAAAGATAAACAAAAGCTTCTAGAATAGGTAAGAACACTTTTCCTAATTCTTGTTTGGCTGATTATTAATGCAGGCGAACAAATGGATGACCGTTTGTTTTGAATTTTTTAAATAAATAATAAAACAATTATTGAATTCGGTTTTCACACAATATGAAGAATTATCAAGCCCTCAGTTTGCCATTATCAACCTCAGCCTTCGGCTTCAGTTGATAACGGCAAACTGAGGGCTTGATAATTCTTCATATCGTATTCAACTCACTGATCTAATAGTAGACTGGATATAGCTTCTCTAGGTGTGAAAAATGAAGCCAAATTATATATGAGAAAATCACTTCCGGGGACCACGGAGTGATACAAATTACTATAGAAATGTATGGCGAACAACGTGAACCAAGCTGAACTTTGCCGAATAATTTGAGATACTTTGCGAAGTTTTACCAAGCTGATCGCTACACTGTGGGTACAAGATGTTATATTAATGCTTTTAAAACGAAAATTATCCAGATCGCTCTAAAATATCATCAGTTTTGTTCATTCAAAGTTGTCCATGCGGGAATAATATTTTATCGCCACAGTGGTATGACAACACAATTTCTAGTTTGCTTTCCAATTACGGAGGCAGATTATGATCTACTATACTCAAGCATACTTTTAAAGGAAAGTTAGTAGTTCATTTTATCATTTATGTTTAACCTTGATCGACCAGAGGGTTTCAAACTTTCAACTACCCATCTTACTATAAAGCCTTTTTACAAATTATATGACATTAATATATAGATTATAGACATGTCTTAGTTGGTACTAAAGATATTTGTACTTTTCTAAGTACTTGTTTATTTGTTATTCTGTTAAACTGGAAGGCAACCTTAATGAAGCTTTCTGTAGAGTGAATCTACTTCAGTAGAGTGAATCTACTTCAGTAAAGTGAATCTACTTTAATGAAGTTGAATTTTAAATTAGAACAAAATTGATTTAAAATGTGGGGTGTATTTATCATTCAATATCTAAATGAGTATAAATATAAGAACAAATATAAAATATATCATTCAAAGTTAATTTGAAATAATAATCTGCTTAAACCTCAACCACTGTCCACTGATGGACTCAACTCATTAATACCAAAGTAAAATTGTCAGGCAACTATACTGTAGGCAGTATGATATTCTGACAATGTAAGATAAAATATACATGCTTTTTTAGGTTGCCTTGGCCAATTATTCATGAAATTATTTCTAATTTAAGTTTCTAATTGCCTATACTTCAAAAGCATGGTTTCCATGACCAGTTGTGCTGTTTCGACGAGAAACCCCAGGTGACAAAACACAACATTTGAACTGCGACCAGTGTTTCTTTT